AAATCATAAATAATACATTTGTTGTCAAAATGTATCTTATGCATTATACAAAATTGTCAATCTCCCACAATGGATGACAACTTCGTCGATTCCATGAGTTATGACTGCCAAAAGATTTAGCAAACATAAAGAATCTGTAATTATTTTGTTGCTAAAGTTTTTATTCGCAAATATCTTGAAATTAAGAAAAAATTTGAAATAAAAATGCAACTTTTTAAGTTCACATAAAATTAAATAAATTGTCTCCAATAGAATGCAAATCTATGTTTTATTATTATTTCATAAGTTTTTAAATAATTTTTTTGTTAGTGAGATTCATGGGTGTAGATGAAATTCAAAAAGTACGCTACACTCTGAATCACTGAAGCTGTTAAGCTTTTAAAAAAATATTTAATTTAAATTTAATTTAACAATAAACATTATTTTTTAATTCTTGTACAAATATATAATAATTAAAATAATCACTACAATGAGTTTTAACTTTACCATCTCTAACTGAGGGGTTATACCGTAGTGTTTACTATACTTAATTTTTATACAAAAGATCACTGTACCAGACTTGTTACTTTAGTACCTTGTTTAATATTGGACATATAAGCAAGATGTTACCATTCTTGATTGACACCTGCCATGGTGATTGTGCGGTGAGTATTTATATATAGATATAGTATTTATAAACAATAAGTTGTTATAAAGTTGGTTTTGTTTTTTCTTATACAATATGAACTTTTATTTCGAGTGTTAATTTTTAATATATTTCTATACGTATTTCGGCAAATTCGCTTCTTTGCCTTCATCAGGAGAATTCCTAATATATAGGTTGTTAGCTCAGGACCTGCAATGTTCATATTTTATTAAGTATCAGTCATGTTTATCAGATTAAGGATCATTAGAAATCTTCTTTAAGGTACAATCGATTGAATCTAGAAACAAATTATGATATTTAAGATCTAACTGCTCCTATTCAAACCCAAAACGAAACATTAGTGAATCATATGATGTAAAATGATATTGATGTTGCACCAATTTATCCTCTTTATCAACAGAACTGATCAGTCACTTGAAATCACGACATCAAATTGGAAAATGGGCGCACGAACTAAATATTCCGAAAATTTTATAAATTTGCTACTGAAAAATAAAAAAGCTAATGGCATTCTGATCTGCAGAACAGACTTTTTAAAGTATGTACTGTTTAATGTGTATTTTATGAAACTGCCTTCTAAATCAAATAAAACAGATTTTTGCATTCTTCGTGTTTTGTACACATTTAGACTTTAAATGAACTTAATTTATAGTTTCTAAGCTTTCATTTTTTTTTTCTTGAGATTTTTGCAATCACATATATGTGTCTTTTTTATTATCGAATATATTATCTAAAATGATCTTTTTTTAATAATAGTTTCTGCATTATTATTCATTTGTTTTATCTCATCTAATTTTGTAATAAAATGTAAATTATTCTTTAAACGAATTTAATTACCAATGACATGCAGCTTGAAAATACATTTGAAAGTCAATATGCACATTCAGGTAAGTGCCAGAAATCATTTTGTTTGTTTTAATATGTATGATCATAATAATATATGTATATGCTAAATAACAGTAAAAACTCATAATAATCGACATTCCCATACTATTAGTTCAATTTAATTAATATATATTTATGCATAATACGTAATCAGTATACATTATATACGTATGTAGATAATAGTTTATAATAGTTTTTATTTATAATTATCTGCAACAGTAGCGGAGCCTGGACGCAGGGCACACCGATGGAAGTCTTAAATGACTAATAATGACCCTACCTCGAGGTAATACTAGGAATGAACAAGGTCTCTAGGAATGAGGGGGAGTGGTTTAGCCCGTGCGAGTCGGGCACTCACCTTCCGGGGCGCTGGATTGTGGTCAGTGCGTAGGCATTCCACTCCTCCTTGCCGCAAAAAAAAAACAAAAAAAAAAAAAATGTAGATAATAGTTTACGTTTTTAACTGATAACAATACTTAAATTTTAATTTATTATTCGATATAAGACCTCGACATTTTGTCGTCGCGATAGGTGCAAGAAAGGAGAATAACAAACTATGAGTTGAGAATAATTTTTGTCACCATCAGTTTATTTATAATATAACAAAGTTTAGCAACAAATATTTGTATTTAGAATAAAATTCTTCGTGTTAGGTCTAACGAAACACCCAGGACAAAGCCATTTGTATATAGAAATAAATGCAAAAAGAAAAAAATAAACTATGATGATCATTATCTACCTTAAAACCGGTATGTCTGCTTGTTCTCATTCAACAATCTCTTCGCCGATGCTAGTTACAAGGCCATTTCATCCATTTGGGCATCCCTAGGCTCTGAGTCTTGTGATCTATGCCGTGTTTCTGTTTACTATACAGTCTTAAACCTGCCACAAAATGTTTTCAGAGCACGCAAATTATAAACTATATGTTTGATATTGTTGAAATTAATACTGTTCATTTTTTGAATGATGCTATTATTTATCTTAGTTATATTTTTCATTAGTAGAAGTAAATATTATTTGTAATTAATTATAACTGGAATATATGCCTCAATTTTACTTAATTTTTTTTAATTTGCTTGATTGTTGTCATAACATTTCAGAAAGAAGTATATTGAATTATTGAAATTGATTTACAAATTAATTATAAAGCGATTTCGAAAAGTAGTGAACTGCAACAATAAAAATTCTTTTTTTTAATGGGTATTTGGCAATACTCGAAAAAGCTGTATGGTCAGCCAAAAATACAATTAATTAAATAATAATAAAAAATTTTTTTTTATTTCGAAACTTCTCTAATAAGATATAATAGTTTCTATTAAGTAAAATAGTCACTACGTTATAAATAATAAATAAATAAATAATATATTAGAGAAAGGTCATTGAACTATGTTATAACTTCACTCGACTAAAAATATAATCTTAGAGACATACTCTTTGCAAAAATAAAATATTTTTATATAGACTTTTTATTTTTTTATTTTCAGTTTTATTTTTAAACTTTTTTTTTATTTTTTATCTTAATATTTAATATTCTACGCACACAAAAATTACATCACTTAAAACTAATACAACCAGGTTTTAAAAAAAACGCACTTAAAAAGAATTTTTTAAAGAAAATAAATAAATGCTCCTTATTTTACCATATTAAAAACTGTAGGCAGAGGTAGTAGGTTGCTTTAAATCTTTTACGAAAAATAAATTCTAAGAATAATAAATCTATTTTGAATTGTGGGTCAAATTAATATCTTTATCACATAATTAATTATAGCACTTAATATATCCTTTTAAGCCTTTGTGCCTGCCTTAGCTGTTTCAGCTACTTTTTCAACCTTTTCAGTAGAATCAACTTTTTTTGGTGTAGGTACTTCTTTAGCTTCTTCAACTTTTTTAATTTCTACATTCTCTACTTTTTTCACATCTTCCACCTTTTTCACTTCGTCAACTTGTTCGATTTTTTTAACACTTGGTACATTTTCAATCTTCTCTTTTTTCTCAACAGTTTTCAAATTTTCTATTCTAGTTACTTTAGCTTCTACGGCCTTAATGTCTTCTCTTTCAACTTTAGAACGAGCTTTACGTCTGACTTCCTCTTCTTCAGTAGTGTCAGGAAGATCAGCTGCTGCCTTTGCTAAAGCTGTAATTTCGGATAGAATATTTGTTCCCACTGGGACGAAACCATTTTTGCCTGCTGTGTAATGTACTTCAACTTCACGACCGTCGGCATCGATATAACGATAAGAACCGGAAACTTCAAGGGCTTCATCGTCGGTGCCAGCATTTTCAACAACACCAGACTCTTCACGGAAACTCTTATCACCACCTTCGTATGTGAAGCGGAAGGAGCCGTCGGGTCTCTTATCAGTTTCGAATTTTAATAATGGTACAATTTCACGTTTCTCAGTTGTGGATTCAACACTGCCAATGCTGGCGGCATAAGTAGCCGCAACGCAAGCCAATAAGCACAACTAATTTAAAAAAAAATTCATATTAAACAAGCACTGAAATATTAAATATATATTTTTCATTTAACTTACAAACTTAAACATTTTTTGTTTGTTAATTTATAATAAATATTCTCTTCTCTATTATAGGTACACCACACCACCACCAGATACGAAACTATACTTAAGACGCAATCTTTGGCAACATCACTTTTATACTTAACAAATTATTTCTAGAAAAATAACCAAATTAGCATCACTTACACTTTTTCCAAAAATACATAAAAACAAATTTGAAACAACAAAAACTAAATATAAAATAAATAACCAAAATTTTGTTTAATTTGCATGCGTGACTCAAACAAAAAATTCCTAACGCGATTTCATTAGCCGCAAATGTTAATGGCGAAGCTATGCAAATCGACATTGTCGACTTACGCCATTAGAATAAATATTCCTCGATGACTTCTCCATGAATTCGATGATTTCTATGAAAAAAAATTATCAATAAATTCTATTTCTTTTACTTATTTTCTATTGTTAATACATTATTAATACAAGCCATTAATATATTTTTTTTATTTGTTTACAAGCGAACCTTTGAGAACCCGTTTTAGGATTCCACTCTTTTATTTTTGGCCTTAAGATTTATGTAATTATGTCTAACTATTTTAATCTTCTTCTAACAGATTCTTCACTAACTCAACATCATATCTATCTATCTTATACATTTTGGGTGTTAACTCAGAAGTTTGTTAATCTCCAAACAAATACAACTTAATTGCGATGAAGATGGCGATAAAAAATATTTAAAATCATAATGAATAGTTTACAGTAAAAAGAAGTAAAATAACTCTTCGAGAAATTCATGGATCAATTAAAATTAAATTCAAATGAAATAAAAATTTTACCACAACTTATATACAATATATTATTGTGTGGATATATACATAATATTATACTGAGTTTGAAAAATCGGTATAATCAAACCATTATTATTGCTATCTATTAATATAACTGAAGCTTAATTTTTCTTACTCTAATTAACAGATTATATATAAAATTTTAATGTTACAATACTTATAGAGCTATACAATCACAATTAAGTATACATAAATCTATTAACCTCATTATATGTCAATGATAAAAAACAAAACTTTAACTAGCTTGAAGGATTTACATGTTAATTAGTAAATTTATATATACAGAGAGCAAATAGAATGAACTGATAAATAATAAGACGGACTTAAGGTCTCTAATTATTACCTACACCTTTATGGATAAAGAATAATTTTAAACTCATAAAAAATATTAATTTTTAAACAGAATAGTTTGTTTGTTTGTTAACTATTAAATATAGCAGAAACCGTGGGATGCTCACATGGAATTATCTGCTATCATCACAAGCCTTAAAAAGGAATTAGTTGATAGAGAGAATTAGTCAATGTGCAGGAATTGTAGCACACCAAACTCAAGAAAAATGGTTTATTATCTGCCAATGTCCAGCATTGATGAGAACGCAAAACTACGTAGGCGAACCATGGTTAGATGGCGCCATGAAAAAAGGGGTTGCTGGATTCACTAAGAACATATTAATATTCTATGAATTGGCACGGCGTGTTCTTCATAAATAGTTGCTCTTGCCGTCTTGATGACACTAAGGGCTTAGTTGATCCAGGCCAATCTAGTCAAATCTAGTCTAACCTAAGATTCTAAACAAACAATAGTCATTTCAAGTATTTCCTTTTTTGACCAAAACAAGCAGTGCAGAGGCATAGAATGTGACAAGCCTCATCAGCGATTTCCAAGTTCGCTGTCTTTTCAAATATTTGGTGTGGTTCATACAATCTTGTGCACCCTTGCTAACTTAATTCATACTTGTCAGTTTTCAGACTTAAGTTTCGACTGTGAAATCGGATCATGGAATTCCCGAGTGTGAATAAATATCGTTTTCTCATTTGCTTTTAAGATATTATAATTAGAAAAATTAAGAAAAATTTGCATATCATGTTTTTTTAGGTTTATAACAAATGACTAAAAAAAAATTTCAATTGGTATAGATAAATAGCCTTTGCGAACTAACTAAAAATAATATATTCTATAAATAATCACACTAATGTTTCTTTACGGTATAAAAACGCTTGATTCTGTTTTTAATAATAAAAACTTTAAGACATTAGAGATTGAACTTAAGATTTTGTTTTAGTTTGTATAAGGATTATAAAGTTCTATCAAATTGAAATCTCTTAATGATATTTAATGAGCACAAATTATAAATTTATTTTTTAAAGTGTTTAAGATTTTAATTTTTCCTTATGACTTATAATTGTTTTTTAGTAAATTGTTTATATAATTACAAAAATATGTTTCGTATATGAAATATGAAAGATTTTATTTATAATTCGAATGCAAAAATTCAAAACTCTTAAAGAAATAAGTCTTGTTCATAGTTTATTGCCTCATTAAGAACTACTAAATCTAACTATTAGTTTAACAAATTTTTATAAAAATTAATGGTTAAATTTTGTGAATTTTATGATTATTAATTAACACTAATTACCATGGTAACCAGTTTTAGTATTTGACATATTATCTATGTGAACATAAATTGTATCTTACATATTAATTTATTTTTTTAAACACATAAAGTGTTGGACTGAAAAATTTGATTATTTATTTTCTTTGATTTAATGATTTAATTAGTATAAATATTTATATAAATACTATATACTCATACATACAATTTTATATATGTACTTTATTTTTACAAATTATTAATCTTACGAAATATATTAATTTTTTGAATTTAATCTGCAGAAGACAGTTTTAATAATTTGACTTTTATATCAATTTTTATTGATTTTTTTAATATACATATTAGATAAGCTTGAGTCAATATAAACCATTGATCTGTAGCGATACCAGATGATGATAAACTTCTACACATCAACAACATAAAATTTGGCATTCTGTTTTTTTTTGCGATTCTAAGATGTGTTTCAAATTTTATTTCTGAATTGAAGTCTTGAAACATTAATTAAGATTATTTAAACCGTGTTTTTAGACCGTAGTGGGATTTAAAGTAAGATCATCTTCTTTGTACTGCATACTACGAACTTAATACGAACTTTATACATATTTTGACAATATCCAGAGAAGTTATAATGCAAATAAATGCGCAAAAAAGCAAAGATCGCTCTAATTCTTCCAGAAGGTAAGATACAAAAGAAAATATAGAGTCTTCTTTAGCGATTGTTAAACTATACTATACTTTAATGTGTATTTCTAAAAGATTTAAAAAAATAGTAGAATTGATTTTTCTCACCAGGCTCATCTTCTCCAAATAGGACTTCGTGTAGTTTCTTTTCCAGGTATACGCACCTTAAGTATCGGTATTACAGTAAGCTAATAACTGCTGCATAAGCTAGGGTGTTAAGAAGAAAGAAAAAACATCTAACATCCTTTTATGTTTTAATCTATAGCATAGCAAAAAAAAAAAAATAAGGACTATATATCACTAAGAACTGATAGATGATCCATAAATATATATTACTAATATGGTGTTAACCATGCCGTCCCAATTTGTGATATTAAAAATATGGGTCAACTTGAACTGATAATTTTGAACAACGCTTCAAGTATAATTATTTAGACCTTACAGCTCTTAAAATTTTACATGTGCTTATAGAAAAAAATCCATTTAACTATAGAACTGTAAAAACTGATTAAATTTATATGAACAAAAATGATAGGGATGATAGTGTCAAAATGTTAAAGGATATATTAATAAAAAAATCAACATAATATCATTTGGTGAGTAGTTAAAAATAATTTAATTTAATTAATTTTATCATTGCATACAATTTTTTCTGTTTTAATTTGCTTAAAAAATTAGTTATATAAAACGAATTAATATTATTAGTTTTTGATTTGTAAATACAAATCTTTTGAATGTCTTAGTCTTCTATAAGGGACGGAAATTCTTTATTCCTTCTTCTTTGAAATTGCTAATTTTTCATCATATTCTTTGGGCAGTTCTTTTGCTGCTTCAGCTACAGCTGAGATTTCAGGATTAATGATGGAACCATATGGTACGAAACCATTTTTGCCTGCTGTATAGAAAACTTCTACTTCTTGTCCGTCATCGTTAATATATTTATAGGAACCCTTAACTTCGAGTGCTTCTTCATCTGTGCCGGCATCAACAACTGTTGCTTTCTCTTCGCGTTTTGTGCCATCACCACTTTCATATTCTACATTATAGGAACCATCTTCATGTTTATTAATTTCTGACTTTAAAATTGGAACAATTTCTTTCTCTTCATCCGCATTGGTACGTGCTGGTGAGGCAGAGATTGCGACGAAAGCAATGCAAGCTAAAACCGCGAACTGAAAACAAATAAGAAAAGTTAATTAATCTCAAATCATATTTAATTAATAACATCGAAGTTAAGATATATTTTTTGCGATTTTAGTTAGTTTTAAATTATCTATTAGAATATAGATTTATATATTGGATACTACTTATGTTTCGAAAATAAATTTAGTACATTAAAAGAAGGAAAATATTATCTTAATAAATGCAACTGTATCATGTCATATGAATGATAAATTAGTTTCAAACAAATAAATTAAAAAAATTAAGAAATACCAGGAAATATTATTACTATTATATTGATATATACTATCTATGCTTTTATAAATTTTATTTTATATATGAGCGCTTATATTTTGTAGAAAAAATTGAAAAAGAAAGAAGAAAAAGATATACTAGCCCTGATCGAAATGAAAAAGCTCATGACGAATTTGACAGGTCATAGCTCGAAAGGTACCAGTTACAAAGAGAGAGAAGAATACTTCCTCAGAAGAAACTTCCTGAGTGAATGCATTGACTGGGGCATTGTTAGTGTACAACCTAATGAGTCGCTAGGACACAGGTTGACATTAAGGAACGTCTTCTTGAAATTTATATCCGATAACAAAATGGTACTTATGTGGTATTTTGACATAACAGGTAACTCTGCTGTCTCCAGAACCAATCGTGGTTTGTTACGAACATATTATAATTATAATATTATTATATGTTCATAGATTACTACTAACATACTACCACTAATTTATATGTTATTCCATTCGATATGTAGATTATCCGCGTTATTTAAGTAGTGCGGAATATATATATTTGAATATTTTTGTTAAATGTCTTCTTTTAAGTTATATTCTTTGCTATCTCTATAATATTTACTAGCAAATATTTTTCTATTTTTTACAGAATTTATTTAGAGTTTTATTTCAATCTGTCATCTGTTGGACTATTTTGTAGCCTCAAGTCACAAGAGTTCAAATTATTTCCTATTATTTATTTTCGTTGAGTTCATTTTTAATTTAAAGTCTGTGTCACTAATATTAAACTTGAACTTGGCCCACTTAAATCTCTCACACTTGTGTCTGTGTTTTTATTTCACTTTCACCATTAGATTAAAAATGATTGATATTACTGTAATATTTTAGTCATACCCGTATTATTTTAGAGAATTTTTTTTTAAGTTAAAATTTTTATTAATTTTTTTATTGAAACACTGCATTAAATTTCACTTACATATTTGAACATTTTGTTATACTTGAAGTATCTGAAAGCTTTAAGTTATTTGGGATGAGGTCTGTGCAGATGAACACGTTTCGATAAATTGTGTTAATTTCAATGCAACGTCCCAACGTCTTATATACCAAAATTTTAACTAAATTGAGGCAAACTTTTCAGAAATAATTTGAAATTTTTAACATGCCAAACATGTTTCACATCCTGTTTTATTTTGTTTCTATTTTAAATTAAGTTTATTATCAAATTATTCAAACCGTGTAAAATATATCTCAACTCCGCAGATTTACTTACTGATATATTAATTTTTTTTCATGTTTTTAAATGTCAGGGTTGCTGCCAATTTGCTGCAAAATTATTTAAGAGAAAAAACATGATTGCGAGGTGTCCCAATAAAATACAATATATAGAAAAAATGTGTACGATTTTGTGCAAACTATGTCAGTTCAAAACTGCAAGATACGTTATTTTTTATAGCTGAACTACTCACACATAAGTTCAGACATCAATAAATAGATGTTTATGAATGTATCTACAAACGAGTATCTGTGCATGCTAAGTAGTATCTTCTTGCTCGATGGCGTTTAAGATAAGCACAATTCCACGCTTACGTGCCAGACTTACTAATTCTTCACGATAAAAAATATGTTATTTTCTGAAATAGGTTTTTGTTTGGTAATTCTTCAAAGCGTTTTTCAGCACTTGCAAATATTGACAAATTTGTAGGAAGTGTATTGTTCATTGTGTAACACGTTCATTTACTCAGAACAGGTACTTTTGGATGGTAGTTGACAATTATTTTTAAATGTTTCCTTTGCATCATAAATCATTACAAATGAAACAATTAATTTTTTTTCTTAAAAATTACTTTTTGTTTTCTTCATTTATTTAAACAACTATTAAGGTAAATATGTATCACTTAATACAAAATTTTTTACTTAAAGTTAAAATTTTTGTTCACCGAAGAGGGGGCACTTTCTTATCGTCTTAAAGTATCGTCTTAAAGTATCGTCTTAAAGTATAAAATATCGTCTTAAAGTATAAGTCCTGCAATTTTTTTGATGTTTTAATAATTGTAATAAATAAAATGCATAAATAATAATAATAATCCATATTATATTAATTATAACTGTAATTATAACTACATATTTGTATTTAAAATAATAACTATAATATAAAAATTAATAAACTAAGCCGAAATATTAATTTACAATTTAAAATTAGAGATAAAAAAGAATCCTCGTAAATTAACAAGTTTCCTCTGAATCAACATTTTGTCTCTCTATACAACGCCAGAAAACTAGCAATATAGTTTTCCATTAAAACTATGTTGTTAACTGTTGGAAATGTATAACCATTATTGAATAGTAGGCTATCCTTATTCAATTAATTGTATTTAACATAATATATATTTAACATGTATCGGCGTGTTTCCCAAAAGTTATTGAGACGATAAAAACTCAACACAGAAGCAAATTCGTAGTTGGAGAGAAAGTGTTAGCTCGTAATTTTTCGGGACCGCATAAATAGATCAGAACCGTGATACAGAAATTGTTGGGATATAAAATGTATTCTATTTAAACTGTAAATGGTTATATCAAACGACATCAAAATCAAATACGTTGAAATTTACGTCGTCATCGCCTTCAATTCGGCTTATGGCAGATAATGTTGATGTTGATTTAGATCTCGTTAGATCTTGCTATATATTGGTGACCCCGATATCAAAGTAATGTTTTACAAAGTAATCATTTTACTTCCTCTACGATTAGATAGGTACATATTGTGACAGAAATAACAGTCGTACTGTTTTGCAGACAGGTTCATAGTACATCACTTTTTTGGGCAATGAAATGGTTCATTATCCTTTATCATTTCAATACAATCTACTAGAGAAATATCTTCAGCGCAAAGTCGGTATCTATTTTTTTTCACAATCGATGAAGTTTCTCTAGATGTACATAAGATAATTATTACGTTTATCACAAACAAAAAACTTGTCAACTTATCGTGTAGATCAGGGCTGTCCAGACTAGATCGCGGGCCAATACAAATTACTGTACAGATTGGAGGGCTACATACGTCCATAGTTGTTTTCGACAAAAATAAACATACGGTTATAATGTTAAATTTGGTTTTATTAATTTGAATTCATTTATTTGTTATACCATAAAAATAAACTAATATAGCTTTACCAGTACACCAAAGGAAAATTTGCGTAATTGTAGCAGATTAAATCCATGTCGCAAGCCGGACAATCATTAGCCGCGGGCTGTAATTTGAACAGCCCTGGTGTAGATGAATAACAATCAAAGATATGATTTTAGTAAACATTGACTTCTTTTCCTGATAACGTCTCGGAATTTTAAAGATATTATTCCATTTTTATTAAAATATTCTTTACGTCAGGTATTTATTTAAATTACAATTCATAATCATCTCCAAATAGG